GCACGTGAAGCGGCCGCTGTCCTCGGCGAAGGCCTCGCGGATCAACAGGCGGGCGCGGCCGTCGCGGTCGTAGCCGATGTGGAAGTCCGCCGAGCTCTCGATCCGGTAGTCCTCTCGGAACCACATGATGACGGGGGCGGGCTGGCCGCCGATCTGGCACTCCAGCGCCACGCACTCGCCTTCCGTCACGGTTGTGTTCTTCAAAGCCTGAAAAGAGAAGAAACCATCACTGCCGATTTGAAGCACCGGCGGCGGACGTCGGCGCGGCCGCTTAACTCACGGAAACCAGGACGGGCGGGAGCGCGCCGTCACCGGGGGGAGTTGCGGCATCTTCTTCCTGCGCCTGTTTGGGAGACAAAGAAACGCAACATTGCGATGCCACTTCTTCAACGCGGCCGCCGCAACGTATTGGACGACTGTGAAAAAAAACGTCGATGCTCAGGAGGTCAACGGATTACCCGGGGACAATTTCACGCATATCGGGAAACGGGATGACTTCAAAAGGGCGACCGCTCACTCGGAGATCGATTATCAAAGAACATTTGGGAGAAGCCGGTCGGGACGTCACACCGTGCGCTTTCCTCACTGTCAGGATTCTGGAACTGGTTTGGTTTCTCAGTTCCAGGTGGAGCGCGGGGCAGTTCCCTCCAGCGGCGCGCCAGTCACTCGGCACGATCGGCCGAGTCGAGAAGGACTGCCGGCCCGACGACCCGTTGTTGGATTATTCCTCATCTTGCCTCAAGTGTTGAATTGTCCAGACGTTGAGTTTCTCGCCTCCTTTTTGCCTTTTGAGCCCAAGTATTTTTTTGGGGGTGGAAATCTCGTCTCCGTTTTGTATCCGTCACCGTCGGGCTTATTTCTTGTCTTTTCGCGACAAGCTATTGACGTTTACACATTGCTTGGCTTTTGCAAGCGCTTGTGGTTTGATTGGTTTCCCCCGTTTTTGTAACCAGCGTCACTTGTTGGACTGGATCCGCTCTTCTGCATTTTTGTAAAAGACGCCCGCCCATCTGAGTCCGTCCGACTCTTTCAATCATGAAGCCTCCCTCCAAAATTGCGTCTCCACTCGTGAAAACGAGATGCGCACGAGACATCACGTTGTCAACGTTTCCTTCACCTGCGCGATGCCGACGAGGTGCTGTTCCCGGTCCGACTGAGCCACGCCGCCGTCGCCGTAGTCGGCCTCGGTCAGGAAGCCCGCCTGCTTCCAGGGAGGAAGGACATCGGAGCCGCCGCCCAGCTGCAGCGTGACCATCGGGGACGCGGCGACTCTGAAAGAGAGAGTCGCGCTCCGATGAGCGCGGCGCTCGCCCAAACACGCAACTTTTGACCCGCCGCGCACGGATGGATGCGGCGCGACTCGGACCGACTGGACGATCCACAAATGCGAGTGGCCGGCTGACCCTTGCGCATCCACCGCCTCGGTGCGATCGAGACCCCCGGTCTGCTCGTCACGAAATAACCGTTCACCTTTTCAGGCTCTTGCGGCCTTCCGCTACCGCGCTCGAAAAAATCAGGAGTGTTTCATTTCAATTGAAGTAAGTCGTTTCGCTTTTCAAATGCACTTCCAAATTCGGAAGTTTCCAGTCCGTACTGTTAAAACATGACGGAGAAAGTTTTTTTGCGACATACTACTCGGCCCATATTGGAAACAGACACCGTTCGCACCTTGCGGACGACAGATTGCCTTGGCGTGGGAAAATCCAGGCCACTTGAACAGACCCGAAGCGGCAAAAAAGTCCGATGAACCCGGTCAAATCGGTCCTTCCGCTCTCTGTGGCGCCGACTCATCAATATTGGCTCTCGGATCATTTAGCTCTGCTTGAACCCGAAGCCGATCCTCTTTGAACCTTACCCGCCGGGTGCGGACACGGGTGCTTTGACGTGTCTGACAGGCGACGCCGACTGCTGCCGCCCCACCGTCACCCTGGCGACGGCCGACGCCGGAGCGGGCGTGGAGCTTGTGTCTTGGAGAGCCGCTCTGGATGCGCTTTTGTGGGCCAGGAGCTCCGCCACCTCCGCGCCCTCCGCCTGCATCTCCAGAGTGGCCGTGCTCGGTAAACTGGCATCCGTTCTCTGGGGGGGGGTAAGGGCATTTATGCAAAACGAAAAAGAGAGGCCTTTTCTGATTTCCCAAGACCTGATTGAAACCGGAAAGGCTGAAAGACTGAAAGACACGGAGGCCGCACGGGAACACGGAATGAGTTTCCGTACCTGCTCCACTCTGGTCTGATGACTGATCTGTGAAGTGGAAACCAGGGTCTTGGTTTTCTTGGCTGGGACGACTTCCTCGCCTGCATGTCCACAAAACGGTCCAAAGTTTAAAAGCCAACCCCGCCGCTCCCGTTCGCCACTTCAAAATACCAAAATCATTGGAGTAGGTCTGCACATTTGACTGCGCTTTGAATTTTTTTTTCTCATCGGGGTGGCAAGTAAGCAGGAATCTGTCCCGGCTAACCGAGAGCGGGAGCTGGGGTTTACCCCAGACTGATCATCGGCCAATCGCAGGGCACAAATTGGGGAGAATGCGGAAGCCTGCACAGGAAGGCCAGAGCCTCGACTTCGCTTGGAGTGCATTTACGGCTGGCTTCGCCCAGAAATTTCGCTCCAGAACCCAAGATGCCAAACGTTCTTTGGAGTCGTGTAAGTTTTCCCGCTTTGAACGAACGCTCGGCTGAACGCAGAACCGAACAACGTGGCACAACGTGGCAGACGCTCACCGTGAACCAGCAGCTCTGCGGTGGACGTGGCTCGCCCGCTGCTGTTGATGGCCGCCACCGAGTACGACCCGGAGTCTTCCGGGAAGGCCTCGGCGATCAGCAGACTGTACGCGTCTCCATCGCGGACGATGGTGAAGTCGGGCGAGCTCTGAATCTCGGCTCCCTCTCGGTAGAACGTGACGGCGGGCGGCGGGATGCCGGTGACTCGGACGCCGAGTCTCACCTGACTGCCCTGCCGCACGATGGAGCTCTGGAGTCTCTGAAGAAAACCGGGAGGCGACGTCTCCGCTGCGCAGAGACAAATTGCAAACGGGCATGTTCGATTTGCACGATCCGCACGAGTCTCACCGCTATCCCCGCGGCGGGCGGCTCTAAAAGGCTTGTGCCCACCTGGGGACTTAAGGGGAACGAGGAGTTCAAAACTACCTGGAGGCTTAGAGGAGACGTCAAGTCACTATGCGGACTTCAAGACTGAAGATGAGGAGAAAAGACTACCTGAGGTCTTGCGAGGGACGTGCGGAGTTAAAGACTAAATGAGGCCTTGACGCGTCGACTCGGCCAGAGGGCAAAAGACCTGCTGACGTTTTGAAGGGAACGACGAGTCAAAGACTACCCCAAGTGGGGGAAGGAACATCGATGAGGTCGGAGGCTTTTTAATAGCTCCTGAGGTGTTGAAGGGAACACTGACTAGTTCAGAGGAGTAAAAGGCCACCTGGGGTCTTGAAAGAGATATTGAGAAGGTGCGACGACTTGGTTTTGAGGGCAATGGCGAGTTTAAGGCCGGCTGAGGTGCGAGGGGAACGTCAACGAGGTCGCAGGTGGTTTCAGAGCACCCGAAGCCTTGAAGGGGAAGAGGACCGGATCCGGACCGGCTCTCACCTGTAACGACGAGTTCGGCGGTGCTGGTGGCTTGTCCGGCTCCGTTGGTGGCCCGGACGGAAAACCTCCCGCCGTGCGCGGCGTTGACGGCGTCGATGCTCAGAACAGCGTGGCCGTCGCTGAACGAGATCTGAACGCCTGGCAACGCGGCGGCAGAGAGAACCTGGCCGTCCCGAAACCACGACACCTCGGGAACCGGAGCGCCTGGAGGGCAGATGGAGTGGACTCAGGTGGCGCTCTGTCACTCGGAAAGTGGCTTTTCAGGGTCTGCTGGCTTCAGTACGTTGAAGGCCGCTGAGCGTTTGCGCCCACGTTGCTTTGTCTGATTTTGCGATTCCGACGTCAGGTCTTGAAACACGCGCGCAACTTAGTTTGCACATTAAATGGGACCCCTCGGCCCCTTACGGTGTCCCCTTCCGACCAAGTGAAACTCACAAAAACGACAATTGGTTTGGAATGGTGCAACTATGTATCCCAACTACAAATCACCGAATGGAATCGACAAACGGTGCATTATCGGAAAGTGGCTTCCACTCCCCCGACGACGCGCAAATCCAACGCGGTACATTTGTCAGGTACACTTCAGGCCTCCCTAAAGATTCATTGGCACGGGACACGGGACACGGGACGGCGGGGGCG